CTAGTGACGTGTGCAGCTCACAAAGAAGTCACATTCCAACCAAGCAACTTTGTGACAATTTGTTGCAAATTCTGCCTGGGCAAGTATTTCACCCTTGTGAAATTCTCGATCATGTGGATCTCGTAAAATGACTGAATTTTGCCTGTGAAAATTCACAGAAAAACACTAAATGTGACCAGTGTTTTCTGCAATTTAAACCGTGATTGGCAGCTATATACTTTACCTCATTTAAATATTATAAATTTACTAATATTAATACACTTCAGTGTTTGATATTATGTACAATTTTGTTTACTTTGGTACAATAAACAATTTTGGTTCTAGGTTGGGTTGCCACTGAATGTTCAATGTAAAATCTGGGTCCTGAAGTAAAAAAACAGTTCAGAACCACTGACCTACATGACATTCAGAAAAGAGTACATACTACATACACTCAAAGTCTATGTGGCAGCTATCGCAGCAAATCATTCTCTCGTGGCTAGCCAGTCAGTCGGCAGAAACGACCTGGTCGTTAAATTCCTGAGGGGAGCTCGGAGATTGAATCCACCTTGCCCTCATATTGTGGTGAATTGGGACTTGTCTATAGTCCTCTCCCTTTGAGCCGCTCCAGTCGGCCAACTTGCGGCCCATGTCGCTTAAGACCTCCCCCTCCTTTTGGCTTTAGCGTCGGTCAAGCAAGTGGGTGACATGCAAGCACTGTCAGTCAGTGCAATTCAGATGGTGAGCAGGGTCCCAATCCACTCTGCCCGGTTCGGGCTCTTAGAGTGTACTTTGAGAACTCTGGCCTGTTTAGGCACTCAGAACAGCTCTTTGTGTGCTTCAGAGGCCGCTCTAAAGGGCTGCCGGTTATGAAATAGAGACTGGATTTTCTCACTGGATTTTGGATGCTATAGCCTTAGCTTACATCTCAGAGGGCTTGCAGTGCCCTATAGGTCTGAGGGCCCACTCCACAAGAGGAATGGCCTCCTCCTGGGCTTGGTCCAGCGGGATTTCTATTGGTGATATTTGTGCGGTCCGTCCGTCTACCTTCACCAGGTTACATGACTTGGACGTCCCTGCCCTGCAGGCACGGATTTTGTCCGCTTAAAGGGGAAGTCTAATGCTATTTCATGCATTCTGTGTTATTTACACTGTTAAAGAGTTGGATTCTCATGTTAAACATGGCCAAAGTTTCAAAAAATAATTTGGACGAATGACGGAGTATTTCTGTGCCAAATACACTCCTTCCAGGTTCGTATAAGTTTCTGAAAGTTTTTTCAAGCATGGCCCTTCATGATGTCATGAAGTGCGGAATTCCTTGAATGTGCACTTCTCCCGGGAAGAGCATGCGCACACAGAAAACAGAGGGACAGCAAGAGCACGCCCATCTACATGTTTCATTCGGGTTACAGAAGTCGTCGGCAGTGCTGCAGATTTGAAGATTGTTTTCGAAGAAGTGTGTTTTTGGATGTGAGGGAAAGATGACCTTGTTCAGCTCCCCAAAGAACCCAGCGTTAAAGGGTTAGTTCACACCAAAATGAAAATTCTGTCATTATTTACTCACCCTCATGTTGTTCCAAACCCGTAAGACTTTGGTTCATCTTCGGAACACGAATTAAGATATTTTTGATGAAATGTGAGAGCTCTCAGACCCTGCATAGACAGCAATGCAACTGTAATGTTCCCAGGTCCAGAAACGTAGTTAGGACATCGGTAAAACAGTCCATGTGACATCAGTGGCTCAACTTCAGTTTTGCAAAGCTACGAGAATACTTTTTGAGCGCAAAGAAAACAAAAATAACAATTTATTCAACAATTCTTCTCCCCCGAGTTACGTCTTCCACCATTTTGGAGAGTACCCAAGAGCGTAATCGACGTAATCAGCCTTGTTTACATTTGGAGGAGAAAGTGCGCGCATGAACGTAATCAGCATTGTTTATGCTTAGGGGAAAGCGTGCGTATGAATTGTGATACTTTCTAAACTGGTGGAAGACGTAACTCGGGGGAGAAGAATTCTATTCTAACTACAACTATTCTAACTATTCTAAGAATTCTAACTATTACAACTATTAACTGTCTGTAAGGGCATTCTCAAATGTGTCTACTAATAATTCAAAATGTAAGTTAGAATGTTCAGTGATGTCATATTTTTGTTTGTGTGAGGAAACATAAGTTTAAGGACCCTACATTCATGCTCGCATCAGGTGAAATTCTGCTCAATATGTATAATTTCATGAGATTTTCAAAATACTAAAAGCCATGGACAACTTTCAAAGGGAAAGCTCCACTACACATTAATGGATGAGTACAAAATCTATTTTTTGCTTAGTTAACCTTTCTGCTAAACATTTGATTTTTTATATTTATATATATATATTCATATCCAAGCTGACGGTTTGGCATTTTTTGCAGATATATTACAGGCAAAATTACATCATTAGATCACATGACCATGCGAATACAACTGATTTGATTTTTCATGTACTGAGAACATTGCTGAACAACACAAAATCTTTTTCCCCTAAAATAAAACATGCATGGGAGATGTTTATATACAAATTATTGGAAAAAAAAAAACTACTTTTAAAATAACCAAAGCCATATTTCCACAAACAACTGCATGAGAGGTGTTTGAGAAATGTTTATGAATATAATACAGTGGGTGTAGCAATATGACGTCACATGACCAGGACGTTTTATAGATTTGTATAGTTAAAAAAATTAATTAAATCTACACAGAACGACATTTCTACAATCGAAGTCGTGTATGATGTGTTAGAAGTGTTACTGAATATAATACAGGTGCCATAACAACACCTGTTTCTACCAGTTAAAAGAAAATGTTGGAGTACTTTGTAAATGTTGGAGTACTATTAATTATGTATTCATGTTTTTCCACTAAATACACTAAATATTTATTTATTGGCATAACGCTTTGCATGTTTTAACCAACTCTACCGCACCCCTGTTATTGTAGTCAGGTGTTCTATACGCGTCAGCAGGCAGGTACACTATTATATGATTTAGTCGATGCACTTACCGTTGTCTTCACCATCGAGCCGATTCAGCCGTACTTCAACCCGATCAGCAACTGGCCCATCAGAACACCACGAGCGGGTCTGGGTAGGGTCTGGGTAAAACTAACCAGAAGGATAAGACGCTTGATCGGCCCCGCAAACACACCGCGCGCTGCCATCACCTCCACACAGGGCTGAACGGCAATCCTCCCAGTCCTCATTACGACTCTGCGCACTACACTCATGATAAATATAAGACCTTTTCGCAGGTTGTTTTGTAAAACTCCTCTTGTTGGCTTAAGACCAACACTGAAACCGTATAACCCGGAATTAAATCGGAGGTTTTGCCGTTAATAATAAGCCCTGTGGGAGATTATAGCGTTTTGTGAAACGCCATCGCCACACAAGTTTGCTCTTGTTATCCTACACCTCTCACTTCCTCGGATAAACTTAAAAATGTCAACTGGACGCTTACAGACAGACAGTCTAATGTGTTTTATATGTGTACATTCACATTTAACGTTCGCCTGTATCATACCAAACACTTCAAAGTCTCCTAGTAACTCGACGCGTACAGCGAAACCGCTTGACTACAATAATGCAACGCGGAGTTGTTGGAGTTCACCAATCAAATACTCAGTTTACGCGTACGACGCGACGCGCCCCTTTAAAGGTCCCATATTGTCAAAACTGAAATTTCCTGGCTTTTTTCACGATTACTGAGGTCTAGGGGCTATTTAACTACCATATAAGGGTATTTATACCACAAATATATATTCTTAAGGACATCAAAACCTAAAATAAAACTCCAGAAAGGTGTACAATATGGGACCTTTAAGCGTAAAATGAGATGTTAGACCACGACACTGCGTAAAGGTGACCATCAGCAGAGGGCGATAATGTGATATGATGGTCAGTTTCATAACTACAGCAGAGCTCTACTGACAAAATGAAGTACAATCATTATGGAAATGCACAGAGAAGGTGCAAAACAATGCGGCTTTGTTGTTGTGTTTTTTTTTTATTTGCATAATTGCTACCGATAAAAACATGTTAAACCAGCCTAAACTGGTTTGTTTCATTTGGATATTAATTATAAACAAATACATTATGAGGTGCTTGTACTGAATGACAGTAAATGCAAATAATAAAAATTTCATTCACACTATGTTGGAATTACTGTAATTATTTACTGTAAGGACATAATACAGTTTAAAATAGCCAGCACAGTCTTGGATAACTAATGCCTAATGTCCTGCTAAGATAAACAAACAAAAGTTTATTAATAATGCATTTTTATAATGACTGGTACTTGTTTTCATTTGGCGTCATTTTTGCTGGCACAGAAGCACTCACATAAAAAGCATAATATTAAACCCAAAGTATACTTCAGTTTTTATGTGTACACTAGGTTATAGCATAGTATACTGCCAGCTTTTTCTAAACGTATAGCTGCGTCTCATTTCAAAGGCTGCAGCCTCGCATTTGTTGGCCACATAAGGCTGACTCGTTTAGGAAAAGTAACCATTATATTGCAAAGTAAGAAAGAAATTATATTAAATTAAATTAGGCAATTTTATAATGGTTACTTTTATGAAATTAGACAGCCAACAGATACGACCACACAGCTTGTGTGTATTCTGTTTGCTCAGTTCGCACATGTATCGCTCCTGTATTTCTGCACTACAAAGTATACATTGAAAGGCTTCGCATTCGGCTGTATACATATGGTAAGCATTTGCATCAAAACTGAAGTATTCTTTGGGCATTAGGTCTGAGGATGTGAACAGCTCTGAGTAGAACATCCAGGACAGATTGTTATCTAGTAATTATGGTAATTACAACATGGTGTGAGTGCTCCAAAAATACAACTTGTTTCGATTTTTTCAATACATTTTTAGCACAGTACGTATAATTTTGGGCACTGTGTTTGATGGCAACTTGCTGTTCAATGGAAAATCTGGACCTGAAGCAAAACCAGTGAAGAACCACTGTTTTATTGTCTCAGTGAGCAGGAGCTTTTGAATCCCGAGCAAATATCTCTGGTATGGTGAGTTCTCGCTCACACAGCGGTTGTCCTCGGTGTCTGATGTATCTTGCTTTTCGGGCTTCGGCCAGTGCCTGGGCAAAGTTTGGTAATGTGTGAACTGTTCTTAAATGTCCATCTGGAGCCAACATCTCAGAGGGGAATGAAACTGAAGAAGATGGACACCTATTCCCATTAATCTCAGCTCCTCTTTCATTATCTTTCTCTCGTTCCCTTAACAGCATCCATTCCCTCTCTTTCTGGCTGTCTTTTTCTCTGTCCTTCACTACCTCCCCTAGCTCCATGTGAGACCCTCTTTCTCTGTCCTGTTCTCCATCCACCTCTCTCTCCTTGCTCTCCTCTCTTTCTGTATTTGCGCTTGTAGTGGTTAGAGAGATGACGGGCTGCCGTTTTAGGTCTGGCAGGCAGAGCGTCTCAGAGGAGTGTTCTGCCCTTTTCTCTCCATTGCTGATAAACTCCTGAACACGAGCCTGCAGAGAAGAGGACCTGGAGAGATTGAGAAGACATAGAGAGAAATAATTACTTAAAGTGTAAAAGTCAGCAGTCAGAATGCATAAAATGACATCCTGACAATGCTAATTGGCTTCACAATGACGTACTCGGTTCATTTTGCAATGTATATCTTCCTGCTCAGCTTTTTTCAGAATATACAACTTGTTGAAACTGAGAAAGTTGCTTTTCCCACCAAGACGAAGTTTATGGCATCTACATGAAGAGATTAACTGGGCCATGCTAACAAGCTAATCCTTGACTCCTTGGTTTTGCCAAATTTTAAGGTAGTGTTCAGCAGAGTTCATGTCTGGTCCTCCAAGTAAAGTTCTTATAGTGAAGGATATTGATAAAAACAGTTCAATCTAGTTAAAAACTGATGAATTGTGTAACGGTTATGGACTTTTAGTTGTGTTTTTCCCTGTTCCTGTTCTCCTGTCCTGTCTTGATTATGTCATTCTGTTCATCTGTGTTCATTTAATTAACTCATTAGTCTCCTTATTTATACTCCCTGTTTTGTTCAGTCCTTTTCCGGTTATTGTTTTGTTGTTTTGTGTGTGCTACATCTGCTTCTGTGTTTTCTCCTGGTTGTTTGCTCTGTGGATTTATTAGACTGTTTATTGGATTACCCCTTCATCATGCGCTTTGTATAAAGGTTAAGTTAGCGGCATTTGTCCCTTGCCTGTTGATTGTACCCCGCCATGGATACCCCCTGCTGTAATGCTCCCTCGAGGACCACACGAGGGACTTTTTAGATCTCACCTATCTTACTCATTACCCAGACAGCTGCCTGTGTACATTTTATTACATCGGACTGAACACCTCATACAAGGCAAAGCTGTCTGGAGATGGTCCTCGAGGGAGTTCGCCGCTTTCGTGGAGTGGGTGCTGGAGAATAATGGACTGTATTTCTCTGTCTGCCCCACTGAGGAGGACATCTCCAGTCCCACTTCCGAACCAGAGACCAGCCAGCCATCATCACGCTGCACGGAGCAATCGCCAGAGTGCACTGCAGATGGAGAGCCTGAGCCTGCCACGACACAAGAGTCAGTGTGAGAACCTGCGACTGAGCCAATCATCGCCCCTGAGCCTCAAGAGATGTCTGACCAGGTGTGTGAGCCAGCTACACTGCACGTGCCCGAGGGAGTGCTTGTGGAGTTCAAGGGCTTGGAGGGAAGCCCTCGAACTCCACTCCTCTGGCTTCACCTCGTCACTCCGTCCCTCTGGCTCTGTCAGGCTCGTCCTTCCCTCTGGCTTTGCCTTTGTCCTAAGTCGTTCCGCCGCTGTCTTCCGGGTCCCTGTCTCCGCCTCACTTGCATGAGCCGTCAGCTTCACCTTGGCCCTCTGGACCTCGGGTGTCACCCTGGCTCTCCATCTGCTCGGCTCCACCTGGGTGTCCACCTTCAGCAGCTCCGTCTTCATCACTTGTCCCTAGGGTGTTGTCTGCCAAGTCTACACCATGGCTCCTCCCTCGACTCCTCCTTGGGGCCTCATCTTGGCTGGTCTCTGGACTAACACCTGGCTCCTCTTTCCCTCCCTCCTCAGTTGGACTCTATGCGGCGTGAGGACGCACCTTCCCAGGAGGGGGGCAAACTGTAACAGATATGAACTTTTAGTTGTGTTTTTCCCTGTTCCTGTTCTCCTGTCCAGGGATGCGTTTCCCGTACAACGGTGTAACTCGCTGATTAATTACCATAGTAAGATGCATTGTTGTGGAAACTAACTAGCTAGTCACGACTGTTTCCTGAACACGGTCGCATCTCTGTCGTTTGAACCACATTAGTTCAACAATATAGGGCCGTTGTTAATGACGTCACACGCATGTGGTGGAGTAATAACTTATGCTAATGAATTGATTTGAGATCTCTGAGATGCTGCTGTGTTCAACATTGCGCCTGATGACTAATTTACTATTTTTTGTTCCCTGTCATTTTGCTTTATTTGATGTTTGATTCATCGCGGGTTCCCTCTTATGTCATACTCCGGGGTTCCCGGAGTATGAAATAAGAGGGCATTTATGCGCTTATTGAGGACGCGCAAATATATATAGATTAAAATGTATATATATTTAGATAGAATAGAAAATATAGATTGTACTGCATGTTAGCTTGCTTATTGTGCCCAAGAGCATAATTTAAGTCTTATTGACAAGAAACGATGCTTCTAACCACAGGTGGAGAGCTGTAGTTCCAACCACGTAAGTTTGCGAATGTTTGTTTGAACTATGAACTATGGTTTCGGGAAACAACGAATCGTTGAACTATGCTGGTAACGACGGAACTTGCGACCCTGTTTAGTTCCGTAGAAAAAAGTTTGTTTGTTTGAACATTCGCTGTTTGCGAATGTTTGTTTGAACTATGGACTATGGTTTCGGGAAACAGCGAATCGTTGAACTATGCTGGTAACGACGGAACTTGCGACCCTGTTTAGTTCCGTAGACCTAGTTTCCCGTGTTGTCTTGATTTTGTTATTCTGTTCACCATTGTTCATTTAATTAACTCATTAATCTCCTTATAATACTCCCTGTTCTGTTCAGTCCTTTTCCGGTTATTGTTATGTTTTGTGTGTGCTACATCTGCTCCTGCATTTCTCTGGTTATTTGCTCTGTGGATTTATTATTAAAGACTGTTTATTGGATTACCCCTTCGTCGTGCCCTTTGTATAACGTAACACCTGTAACAGCTTGTTTTTATGCTCACTAGAGTTTTGTACTGTAGGCTTGGCAACATGCTAATGTCAGATTCAACTGGAATCAATTATGGGCTGCATGTTTTGTTTGCTTCACATGAAAAATGCTATTTGTGCAGTGCAGAGAGTTGATGAGTTCCAAATAAGTCATTTAGGTAACACTTTGGATTAGGAAACACTATTTACTACTGACTAGTTGCTTATTAACATGCAAATTACTAGCATATTGGCTGTTTATTAGTACTTTTTTGTAAATGTTTGTATTTTACCATTCAAGTAGACAGAAAATGTTCTTGGATGACCTAAATTGCTTTGGTTTCCTGACAGTATGACAGTCACAGCATGAGGTCAGATGTTTTGATCAGCTGAGAAAGTGCTCAGACAGTCACGTTGGCTTCATGGCAGTCTTGTGCAGCAGTTTGCTGTCCATATCCAGCAAGCACTGATTGGCTGTCTACGGTCATGTCAGGACAGTGCTGAGGTAAACAGTAAATCTTACACCCCTCCTCATCTCTTCAACCTACCGCACTAGACAGCAGTTTCAAATGCTCAGAGAGAGACTGTAAATTTGTTTGAGGTTGGCAAAGGGTGGTATGTTGTAAAAGAAAATGAGTTGAGAAGAAGTGTGTAAGAAGAAGGTGAAATGAGACACCGCTATTGATTAGGTGATATGATGCTCTTTTTTTTGTCTGTATCTAAGTTGTTCAGTGTATCTCAATAGCTAATGTTAGTTAAAGCATTAACTAACATTAACTAATAAATGAGCGGTACATTTGTTAAAGTATTTATTAATCTTAACATTAAAATACAACTGAAAGTGGTTGTTTTCTCCATTTCTTCCAAGTGTATTTATTAAAGACTCTATTTGTTTGACTATCTGCCTCCTTCGTACTCCTTCGAGCTCCTTTCCCCAGCAACCCATGACAGTTAGTTCATGTTAGCTGCAGGTCCATTAAATAAAATTAAAATATACAACTTTTGATTTTGAAATTGTATTAATAAATAATGAAATTAACATGAACTAAATTTAAAAGTTTAATTGTTAATTCATGTTATCTAATGCAGTTAACTAGTATTTACAAATGGAAACTTATTGTATTACCAAAAATAAATTAAAAAAAAGCAATTAATATCTACAATGATTTGAATACACCTGAGAATACATCATGAGTAATGTAATTTCTGAATTTAAATTCATTTTGATATTTTGTAAGGGAGCATACAATTAAAAAAAATCAAGATGATACAACTCCTGAAAATAACAAATCATAAAAACCTCATTAAATAATTAAATTAATGAAAAGAAAAACGTATTAAGAAATTTGGCACCTTTTATTATCAAAAATATATAAACATTATAAAAAGATATATAAAAATAAAAGCTTATTAATATATGAAAAACTATTTGGAAATGTCATGAGGTGCAGCCAACAGGAAATGTCTGTCCAGGTCAATAAATCTCTTAAAATATCAGATAATTTGATGAGTCAAGGTTAGTTCAGGTTGAAAAATGTCATGTGGTGTGGCTCCTCAAAAACTTATTGATATTTGTGAATTAATAATTCATGATATTTATAAAGAGGTACCTTGAAAATAGTAATTAACATCTGCACATGAAGTAAGGAAAATATGTTACTTTTTAATTAACTTTTTAATAACACCACATGATATTTACTTGAAAATTGTTTCAAAAATGATTTACAAACCACAAAGAAAACAAAGATGACATTTCTAACAACTTGGCACAAGGGTTTTAAAATAGATTTTTAAAGGATTTTTCTACTTTTGTTTTATATACTCTTTTACAGTATGTCATAGTGACCCTTAGACAATGTACTGTGAGTGTCTCTGTCAGAGAGTGATCCAGAAAAGAAAGAAAGAGAGAAGGAAAACAGGAAATAAGGGGAAGTAAAGTGAAGTAGGCACTAGTTGGTTGCCTACAGGCTGTCTGCCTAACAAGCATAAAGACGAAGAACCACAAACCTCCCTTCAGGTCCACAGAGAGACAGAACAGACAGACAGAAGGAGGCTGCAGTGGATGTTACAGGAAGTGCAGACAGTGCACTGTGGGAGAGGGAGACGGTCAAAACACTGTCTATTTCCGTCTCTCTTGTGTCTTCCTTGCTATTTAGCAGATGCTCGTCATCCAAAGCAACCTTGAGTTCACTAACTGAATGGACAGTTCCAGTGAAGTTACCTGAGATGTGTCTTGCTTAAGGGCACAAGCAGGAGAGAGATTTCTCTTGCAGTCTCATTAGCAGATGTCTTTAACTGTTAGATGACCACGGCCTTTCCCAATTTCTTTGGTTCACTGACTACATTGCATTTTAAATCTTATAGTGCCCTCCTCATTCACTCTCATTCATTCATCTCTTTAAATGTGTTATTCGAAAATCTGAGAAAGGAAAAATCTGAGAAGCAGACATTGTAAATATATTAATAGATGAACATATCAATGTAGGGGGCTAAAACCTAATAAATATTTTACTAAGTCATTTGTTTGTGTTTGAGGATGGATGGCTCTGTGTGTGTATGTAATTATCCCATCATCAGATTCACTGGTGTGGTTAACTGAGGAAATCCCCTCAATCACAGATGTCCATCACTGCACACAGACTCTCAACCACACACACACACACACACACACAC